AAGCCTCTCACCCTCCACATCTCTGGCCTGTACCCCAGTTCTGTATGAATAAATAAATAAATCTTTAAAAAAAGAAAAAAAAAGCAAAGTTATATCGTGCATGAAAGTTATGTAACCCCCTGAAGGGGAAATAAGGACATAATGTTGTTCAAGAACTTTGTGTCTATGAACTTTGTTGATATACAACACACTGGTGCTTTTCAAAAAATCACAGCTAGATTGATGAAGTGTAATTATTCTTTTATGAATAGTGTCATAAAATAGGTTTTCCTAGTTTCTTTTTGTCAGATACAGAGCTACATGCTGGCTTACTAGGTGAACTCAGCAGCAGGTTATTTAAATTAGCCACTAGCCATTAGTGAACAAAATGAAGGCAAAATAAAGCCATTGTTAATTAAGGAGATACTTTTAAGCCCTTTTTTTATATGTTATTAAATTGTGGTGTAAGGTAATGTATATTTTAAAATCTCATATCCAGGGCATATGTTAGTGAAACCTGTGATAAAAATTGTGCTTTTATATTTGCAGTCAATCTCCCTATGGCTTTTTAATACCATCTCATACTAAAATGATGAGATCTAGTGAATGAAAAGTTTACTTGTAAAGGTATTCTATTTAAACTATGCCAGAGTCAGATGTCAAGACTGGCTTTAGCGTCAGAGAGTATCACTAGTTTACTTACACATTTTAAGTTTTCATCTACCTTTGGTGTGCTAAATAAATTTTCCAATTTTACTAACTTTAGTGCTTCACGACTCTGTTGAAAGAACTAAAAATTTTATTTTTCATGTAAAATACCTTGTCTTTTTCTTCTTAGTCACTAGATGGCAGTTCTGTATCTCTGTATTTGCTACTGTAGAAGGAATGAGAAGTTTTAACCCCGCTCAGCTCTGTATGAATTGTTATCAGAAGAGGTTTTCTGGCCTCTCTGATTCTTCTTGCATCCTACTGTGATCTTAATGGAGAGCTGAGGACTGTTAGTCATGAAGCAGAGTTTTTCTTCTGTGTGAGTTTAGCACTTTTTCTCTCCATTTGAGCACACTGTAATTTATTGAATGTTTTTTGACTTTTATTCTCTCTCTGTAGTTAATTTTTCTGAGAGCTCTGTATTTCTAGAAAAAAATCCTATGACTTGTAAAGCATTTTAACTGAAAAGGATTGAAGGCTGTGGTATTGCTAAAGAGTTTGTTGTTTAAAACAAATGTAACTGGCACTCTTAGGTTAAAAATAAAAGAGGTATAAATTCTCCTTCAGTATTTTTATTGATAACCCTATGGGATTAAGAAAGTTTAAAATAAAACCATCTTCTTTAAACCTTACTAATTCCAAGTAATATGGTCTGAGAACCTGCTCGTTAAAGTATGTAGAATAAAACTCGATCCATAAGAATTAAGGATTTTTAAGATTAATATCAGGCAGCTGGAAGTTGGGTCTCTACAAATTACTCTGTTACGAGTAGACATGTTTATTCAAATGTGTTAGATAATAAAAATAAATTAACCCAATAGCAGCATTATTATCCATTATGTTGTACAGTTGATACGTAAATGAATTCCCAAAGGTCTGCAAAAGACATATGATTTGAGATAAGTGGCAAAATAGTATCTCAGTCCACTTTAAACTCCTCTGAAATTCATCTTCTAATTATTCTGTTAGATGCTTACTTTGATCTTATCCCTAGGTTCTCTTATTGCCCAAATCGACTGCAAACACATTTGAAGCATTGAATATTTTTGTTCACTTTGCATGAAAGTGCAAAGAGCACAGTGCTCTTGATATACATATAGCACTCGGCACAATTTATTGCTTTTTTTTAGAAACATATTTGTTTAGGAACAAATTAAAGAAAAAGATGTAGGATATGAGGAAGCCTCGTTGATGATGCATTACGTACATCTTGGCATAGAAAAGTTTAGAGTAAAAAAACCATTGGTCAGATCAAGAGGAAGGTGTGGGTGATTTTTTTAAAAAGATTTTTATTTATTTTTGCATACAGAAATGGGGTACAAGACAGAGATGCAGGGGTGGTGAGAGGATTCACCAGAGACAGAGTGGGGAGCAGAACAGGCAGATCGATGAAGTACCATGTGGATCACCTCCAGGGCGAGGGATCGAACTCGCACGGAAGAAGCTGGGGCTAGCTTGCAGTGTTGAGTCCTTACCTGTTGCGTCACCAGGGAGGGTCCAGGTGTGGGTGATTATAACTCTGAAGTAATAAGGTCACGTACAGAAAGAGCAAGCTGCTTGGATTTGTTGGGATTTACTAGACAAATCAAAGGGTTGGGGGGAAAATATCGTCTAATGCAATGCAAATTTCTTCTAACCTCTAATGTGAAAGGTTAATACTAGATATGTAAATTAGATAAATTTACATAGTACTTTTTAAACCAACCAAAAATTCATACAAGTAAACAATAAAGACATTTATCCTGATATTTATCAATCAGAGAAAGAAAAATACAAGCTTTGGAGAAAGAGAGGGGAATAGTATCAGAAAACATGGGCTAATCATCCTTGAAGGTTACCTCAGAGTTGATGAATCTTGGCTACTTAATTAACATTTTAATCCAATGCATCTGAGAAAGGGCACAGTGGCGAGGTGGGTAAGAAGAGAAGGGATGTGAAGATACCCTTGCATGTGACATTGAAGATGGGAAGTATCTTGGCAAGACATGTATCATAAGAGAAAATGGAATTTCTGGTAAAGTACATTTTCAGTTTATGGAAACTCCAGTTAGAGCAGAGAACAATTTATTGATTTTATCTTTAGGAGTAGAGAAAAAGTAGAAACAATTCATCACCCATGATTTCTAACTCTCCCTCCTTCCTCCACCTCACATTTCTCATCTCTGTAGGTAAGGATGAGAAAATAATTGTCATATCCTATTCAAATAGCTCAGAAAAATTATAATTTTAGTATTTCATCATTGTTTTATTGTAGGGACTCCAGAGTACCATTTTAGCTGAGTGAAGTCTTTTCCATATGCTACACTTTAAGAAGCCCTGCTTAAATTGTATGCCACTTGCCATATGTTCTTATATTTGCCTCTGTTCTGAAATATCCTTTCAAACTTGAAAGGGAGTGTACTTCATTTTAATGCATAATCTTATTGAATTAAAATATGGAATTTTACTCCTATAGATTCCGTATAGCATGTGTTAGTTTTGTAAATCTGAAATGTCATTGGTTTGAGCCAAAATCTTAGAATGTTTTAGAATTTAGAACATGAAAAACAGAGCACTTACACTTCCATAAGGAATATGATTCAGATTTCATAGACGTCTTGTGGTGTCCTAATTTGCCAGTAATGTCCTAAAATTTAACAGGACTTGAAAATTTGAGAATGTAAGAATATGAATTAAATATTTCTTTAAAATTTACAAAATAAATCGACACAGTGTTAATTTGCCAGCAAGGCTAGGTTCTGAAAGTATCTTGCTTACAAGATAACACAGTAAAGTTTCAAAAATGAACGAATTAACCTTTCAGCAATAACCTTACTTTTCCAGCAATATCTTGGCTTCCTTTTTGACTGCTATAGGCTTAATGTTGTAGCTATGTGCTCTTTTTCTGGGAATCAAGCAATTATGTATTTGAAAAAGTATTTTTGTTGAACATTCTGTTTCTTAGTGGCAAATATTATTTTGTGACATGCAGGTGTTTCAACAACTTGTAAGAATCATAAGCATCTGCATGTAAGATTATACAGGGATGGAAACATTTTAGAAGATTTATTTGTATATGCTTGTTCAGCCAGGCTGACGACAGGCCCCTTGCAATGATTTAGGGGTTTGAAACAATATTTTAAAAATATAATCCCTCAAATTGATATTATATTAAAAATATTACTTATGGTATTGACTCAAATAGATGTTGTCTTTCCTCCATTTGCAGGTATGTGCCCATATAGAGATTCTGTAAAAAAAATTGTGAAGATCACACTTTTCCCACTATAAATATATTTTATTTCTGGGTGTTCAGTTCTATTTTTTTGGATTCTGTGTCTTGTTTTATTCCATACAATGCTGTTTTTATTAGTATGGCTTTGTAGTATACTTTGAAGCTGGGAGTGTGATATCACTGTTCTTTTTTTTTTTTTTTAAATCAGGATCACTTAGATTATTCAGGGTTTCACAGCAGAAAAAGATTTTGGAGACGTCAGTATATTTTTCAGTCCTTTAATGTTGAGACAGGGTACCCTGTACAACGGCAGGCAGACAGAGCGAGAGAGAGACCCAGCACTGCGAGAAGCAGCATAGGAACTCTGCTGCCTAGCCTCTTTCACACTGTTAAGTGTTGAAGTTGCTGGCCCAGGACTAAGTCTACAAAGAACAGATGTAGTAATTGTTACTTTGCAATTATTGTACACCAGCTGTTTACAATGTGTTGCATTTTATTAATCCAGTGTCTTTCAGGAATTAGTGTAACAGCAGATGTCACAAGGCAGGGAAGATAGGTTATCCTGGAAAAGGGCTGTTGTCACTCACAATTTTCTGCTATTTTCAATGGCTTATTATTTATCTTCAATTATAACACTTCAAATGTTAGAAAACAGGGGCCTTAGAACTTTATGGCCACATGTGTCAATCACCTTTAAATCCAAGAGTGGAAGAGGGAAGATACATGGAAGCACGTCTGTGGAGAGGTCTTCCTGGAAGTATACAACAAAAAAATTTTGCTTATATTTATATCTATCTTGGTTTTCTCTCAGGAAGTTTTTGACATGAAGTCTGAGGGACAGGCAACTGTCATTCAACAGCTGGAACAGACCATTGAGGATCTGAGGACCAAAATAGCCGAGCTAGAGAAGCAGTACCCCGTCATGGATCTGCAGGGGACCAGTGGCCATCGCGGGGTTCGGAACGGAGTGGCACCCTCGGAGGAGATCTGCCTCGAAGCTCTCAGGTTAGGTGAAGAGAACGCGCAGCCTCAAAGGATTCTGCAGGCAAAGTCAATCCAGACATCCCCAGCAGAAGAGGACAGAAGGCCAGCCCTGCCTGCTGAGAATGCCCTGCCCGAGTGTCCCCCACGTCCACCAGGGGGTGACAGTGCATCCCCGGGCATGCCGGCTGCCCTCTCGGGCCCTCAGGCAAAATTCTGCTCAGAGATCTCTTTGATTGTGTCTCCAAGGCGAATCTCAGTACAACTCGAAGCACAGACGCAGCTCCCGTCCCCTCTGTCCCTTCCTCAGGGGGACGCTGAAGGGCAGGTGGGGTCAC